GCTTCCACGGCTAGACCCAGATGAGAGGCATCACTCGGCAGAAGGTAACTTCGCTCAGACAAGTCGGTACGGCAGAGGTCCAGAAATTCCATCGAGCTCGGTCGCCCGGGAATCCTTACAACGTCCGCTGTGGTACCGTTGTTCTGAGATGTGTTGAACGCCTGCGACAAGTGAAGAGCGCGATAACGATGAGGCTTTGGCAGGTTGGGTGAGGCGACACGACTAAACATGCGCCGCACAGCCGCTCCTGCACTAGTCGGCTTCTGTTCCTTCGCCTCAGGGATCTTGGAGATGTCAACGCTGAAGAATTTGCCGTCAACTTGACCATTTTGAACTGTGGTAGCCAGCGGCGCAGTGGCCCAGTCTGCAGATGTCACCGGCTGAGCATCCACGCGCACACTGAAAAGGAACCGCAAACCGTCAGTAGATTTGGAGCTTTGGGCTTTGAAAAAATGCCAATAAGGTCGGAGGCTAGTCTGCGTAATCAAACTTAGAGTTAGGGTATAGCTGGCTGGCTGGCTGGCGCTAGTTAGTTAGCTACCACGCCAGAAGTTTCCATCGCAAACTACGTGGCCTTTGGGGGATATTAGTTACGCATGATTATCGCTTGATATACGATCAGCTAGACTGAGCTCGAGGCACAATAGGACGTGCATTTTGTTTACTTTAACCAGATCGATGAAAGACTCGTGTATTAGATAAAAACAGACGCCTGGAGATTATGAGTTGCGCAAGAAGCATCGACGAAAGATTCGACTGTTTGAGCACCAGAACAGTTTGTTTATTGCGCTGAGCTTTCTAAGTCATGGAAGAATTCATCGCCATAGATAGAACCAGCAGCAACCGATCAAGCCAGTCAACTATCAAGTATGTAAGCCTGGAGATGACTACACAGGGCTCTGTACACTGGCGCCAAATCAATACATTGATTGGTTGAGTTCCCAACCATGGACCAGGCTCCAGTCAGGCCTCGGCTCATCTTGGTTTAGGCGTGGGCGAGTATCCTGACGGCTGCGAAGTTGCACTTATGGCCCGGTTCGTAGGTGGGGCAGTAATTTTCGCTAATTCGTCGCCCCATCGCACAGTCAGCTTTGTCACCTTTTTGCTGCTGCTGCTGCTGCTGCTATTTCGGACCCTGAACACCTGCACGAATTCAAAAGCTCAGTATAATAGACAAACCGTTAGGGGGGTTGGCAGATTTGCTTAATTCAGTTGACTCAATTGTGAAAATCCGCGGCCTCGGTGGGACTCGAACCCACAGGGCAGGGGAGGCCTTTTCGCAGCCAAAGCCCTACCAGTGAACTACGAGGCTCAACGTGAGCCGTGGATTTAATCAAACTTGGATCAATTGTACCCCCCAACGTACTGCTTGTATGGAAGCCACCATTACGGAACAGAAAGTTGATTACCCAGACAGGACTTCCTAAGCAATCGTCTAGAATCCACCAGAATGACTACTAGGCGGGTAAACTCGATCCACGTGTGATTAAATTCACAGTTCACGATGAGCCTCGTAGCTCAATGGTAGAGCGTTGGCTGCGCGAAAGCTTTCCCTTTTGTGTGGGTTCGACTCCAACCGAGGCCCCAAATTTTTTACAATGGGGTCAACTTAATAGACAGACTGTTCCATTGCTCGATCATTCTTCTTCCTTATTCGCACAAACATTCCTAAAGTGAACGTTTGCATCCATTAAACAAAAGATTAGGTCCAATCTGAGGATTTTAGACGGTAAGAATAGGTTGTTAAGCCCTCCCCCAGGTTTATACACATAGTCTGGCCTGGTTTGGTATATTATTTCATAGCTGTGGAAAGTAACCATCTACGCGTTAACTACTACACTCCTATAAAAACATACGCAAAGTTGTTTTATTGCGTTTACCTATTTTTTAAATGTTCTCTTGCACATTTGTTGCCACTTGTTCACAGTGAAGTTCCACCGTCAAAACTTCTCACGACAGTTTTACACGATCTGGGAGTCACTGATGACTAAAGGGACTTACATAACCTACCGTTGCCCTTAGGTTAAACCGAAAGGTTAGTGAGCATGCGAGGAGTTAAGCCAAAAAAAGTCAGGATAGGCGTTTGGCGCAGTTATCGCGGCTGTCTTATGCATCTATGAGGAGATTGGCTAACAAATGAGTTTTCAACTTTCCCCGTGTTCACGTGTGTGATCTACTTGTGTTACTTTATGTGCCAGAGACAATCTTAATTGGAACAGGTTTCATGTTATATAATGTGCGTGCTACAAACGAGCGCTCACCAAGGCCTGGCATTGAAACAAGTGTGAAAAAAACTTCCAACTTACATAAAATGCACAAAAACGTCTCTAGGATAGAGGTTTCCTAGAACATTGATAAAACTTCAGTCTGACAATCAAGGACGAGTGTGACATCATGCAGATCCAGTGACGCCATTGTGGCAGCATTAAAGGCATTTGTAGGGCCCGGCACTTACTAAACTTGATGTGACACGCGCATGCCAGAAGACAGGCAGCCTCTACACCGCGCTGCGCCAATAATCACGTGGTTTATTTCTG